ATAAAAATATAATAAAAAAGTTATTCTAAAATTATTTTTCTTAATTTAAAATGGCTTAATTCCTAAAGTGATAATTCATTTATTGTGAAATAAAAGATTTTAAGTCACAGCCTTCGATTCATATAGTATAAATGTCATATAAGTAAGTTTATATGTATGGAAATACTCTTGTAATTTTGTTTTTAGTAATTTACTCTAACGACTGTTTGAAGACTTGTTTACAAAGTTTTGAACATGTTTTTTTTAAGCAATTGGAAAATGCAGTGCAAGTCGAAGGTTTGAATCCAAATGTTTTGACTGTTTTACCAAGACTAAGAAAAACGTGAAAACTAAGAAACTTGTGGTGGTAGGCAAAAAACAAAAAAAAGAAGAAGAAGAAAATAATAGCCATAAGAATGTACGACTGAGCTTAGTAATGAGTGGTTTACGGGTTTGGTTTAATATCCGAGATTTGATCAAAGAGACGTGTACTCTTCAATTTTTAAAATTGGCTTCGTCTAGAACGTACGTTTGGGTTAAGGAAAATGAAAAGAAAGGGTTAAAAAGGAAAAAAAAATTGATTTGGATATAAAAAAAAAATAAAGAAGAGGGGAGGTAAAAAAATTCTCTTTATTTTATTTTTTTAAAAGTTGATTATTTATCTAAATAAGGAAAATTAAGGAGAGGAATTATAGCAAAAATGAGAAGAAAATAAAGGGATATAAGTCCTCTCCTCTTCATTTTTTTCAACCCAAATATAGAATTAGGATTAATTTTCATTAATGTAATTTACATTTTTACTTATATCAATTAATAATGTTTTGTATAATTTGTTTTTGGTTAAATTAATTAGTGAGTTAAATGTTCCACTCATGTAATACAATTTGTCATTTATTTACTTATAAATATCATATCACTTTAAAATTTAACATGCATGATTTACACATATTAAACATTGTAAATCTAATAGTTAGTTCAATAAATACAAATTGTATAAAAAATTATTAATTAATAAAAATAATTATATAAATTACATTAGTATAAGTTGATTTTGACCCTTTCTAAATATATATTCCATTCCAAATATACTAGATATTGATTGTAAGGTGCATGGTCTTCCTCATTTCCCAGAAATTTCCTTTGTGTCCATGGCACCTATGCCGCCTATACATTTTTTTTTTCTATTGAATACGAAAGGTTCATGCACGTCTATGTGCTGTGCATTTACCCTTAATATTAGTTAATTAATTGTCGAACAGAGATAAAGTTAGACAAAAGATGAAGTTCATCTACTATGATATAATAATACGAATATATATTTAATTTGAAGGATAATTGATTTTTTTTTTTATCTATGTAAGGTTTTTTCATTAAGTAATTTTAGAAGATCAAAATTTTATTCAATTATTATTAATTTATATGTTGTATAAAAGTATTATTCAAAACTGCGCATTAAAAAAATCAAAGCAATAGCTGAAATAAGATAGAATGATGGTTTGATAATGTTGGGTGTGGAAAGGAGACAGATGCATAAAGAGTCCAGCATTGATTGAAATATATTGGTCAAAAGTTGAAAGGGCTATTGTTACACATGACTATGACTTGTATGCAGCCAAGATTAGGATTTCCTGATTAATTAATACAGTCTAAGCCAACCATTAAAACTTGCTTCTCTGGAAACCATAAAGACCGGTCTTTTTGTCCTGGAAATTCAGATGAAACACACCATATATGTATATGTATATATATAGAGAGAGAGAGATTAATGTATATCAATTTTAACTTTTAAATAAAAATATATTGATATAGAGATAATTTTTTTATATTATATTTTTATACAATTTTCACGTATTACTAAATAAGTAAATGTATTAAATATCATGGGTTTCAAATGAATAAAAAAAAATCAATCATTTAAATAACATGTGAAATTATATCAAAAGAATACAAAAATATTATTCTTAAATCATTTTTCTAAATAAAATTAGAGTCCCAACTTTAGAAACCAAAACCCTAATTTAAAATTTAAAAATTCATTTAATTAAATGTTAATACGTAGATTTAGAAATTAATTATATATTTTAATATAATTAATTTTTAAATTTAAATATCAATATTTAATAAAATAAAATTCTAAATTTTAAATTAAGTTTTAATTTAATAAAATAATATAATTTAATATTAAAAATTTAATTTATTTTAGGAGTTGAGATTGATTGTACGTTTCTCACATATATATATATATAAAGGTTAGTGTGTTTTACTCTCAATTTTTTAAAAAATTTAGAACCTCAACATACATTTGAAAATAAAAATTCTAATTCAAAATTCAAAAATTAAACCTATTAAGTATAAATATCTAAATTTAGAAACAAATTATATATTTTAATATATTAGTTTTTAAATCTAAATATCAATATTTAATAAAATAAAATTTTAAATTTTAAATTAAATTTTAATTAGAAAAAATAATATAATTTAAAGTTAAAATTTTAATTATATTAAAAATAAGAAGTAATATGTGCTTTCCCTATATATGTGTAATTCTAAATTTTATGGATATTTATTTTATATCTATTGAATCTTGATACATTCCTCGAAATTTTCTTTATTCTTCTACCCGGTCTTTTGATTAACTTGAAAAGTTTTATTCAAACCCTTTTTAGACCGTTTTCGGGAAAAAAAAAAAAAAA